TCACCCTGATCATTTTTTACCATACATGATAAAAAATATGTGCCCATGCACATTTTGACGGCAAGACTTTGGACCTCATTTCTTTCAGCACTGACATTAGTTTAGGGTCATGTGGTCATCCAACAGAAGTGCACTTTTGGGGCCTCGGAGGCCCTTACTTTCCAAAGCAGTTGTTCTTGGAGTGTAATAATAGCTACCATTCACTAAAAGTTTATTTCACATCCACTGCCTCATGTGTTTATTGTTGGGATAAAATAAGATCTAGTCCTTAGCTCATTTTATGCCATGTGAAATAAGCTATGAAAGATATTTTATCCAAACAACCACCTCAGGAGATAGATGATAGGTTCTTTGTTGTTGTTGTTACTCTTAAGTGCTGTCAAGTAGATTCTGATTCGTAGTGACTCTGTAGAGGATTTCCAGAGAGGGGCTGGTGGATTTGACCACTGACCTTGCCGTTAGCAGCCCAGTGCTTTTTCTATAGCACCATACCAGAACTCCTATGTTCTTTGTTGTTGTTATGTGCTGTAGAGTAAGTTCCATATTGGGTTTCTGAGGAGTGGCTGGTGAGCTTGAGCCACTGACCTTACAGTTCAAATTGACCTTGAAGTCAAGTATTTATCCAATGGCATTACCCCAGGACTCCTTTAGAAGGCCAAATAAATAGCAACCCTATTCTCTGACCTTGGTGTGCTCTACTGAGGCATGGGCGCTGTAGGGGCACAACTCAGTCTTCATCATCATCATCTCTGCTGAGCATGCTCAGGACTGTGCACCCCTGGCTGTTGCTGCTGCTACTTGCTATGGAATCATTTAGACCCCTCATGTGTAATTAATTTTTGAGACTACGTAGAGGGGGATAAATCGTGAGTCTGTGGACAAGCCACATTAATGGACAGTTCGCCCCTCCATACTTCCCTTTCGGCCTTGATGCAGAGTGGACATTAGGAAAGCTAATCCAGGACTGCCTGCCTAGGGCTGGCCCTAACAGTTTAACGTTAGCACCTCACGTGCTCTCTCTAGTATGTGCAGAACTCGGTAAGTAGCCTTACCACTTAAAGGCAGCCAATACTGTTTGTCACACCAACACCTACAAGCATCTCATCCTCAGGCTAGCTAACAGAAGTTGACACACTACTTAACCCAATTCACAATTTAAAAAAAGAAAATTTTAAAGGTTGACAGACTTGTCCATATATAGTGAAACATGTGAGGGTCATAGCTCAGTGGCGACTGACTGGTTTGTTCAGACCTCACAACGTTTCTGCCTTTAACAGAATGCAGTCTTACCACTTACTGTCTCTCTTTATCAGTGGAAAATAGTTGAGCTTCCTTCGCTGACAAGTTTCTGCTCTCTAAGTTTTACTGTAGACAGAGATGGTGCTGGGCCAGCTCTAGGCTTCCCCTAAGGGGGTAAATGCAGATTAGAAATTCAAATTTTCATGAACTGTAGACCTCCTGGTGTGGCGCTGCAAAGTAAGTGCAAAGTCAGTGGTTCAAGCTCACCAGCTGCTTCTTGGAAACCCCATACAGGGTTGCTATGGGTCAAAATCCACTCGACAGCACTTAACAACAAAAACGACCTCCTAAGGAGCATTGGTAATGTAGTCCTTACAAGCTGTGCTGTCAGCAATTCGAAACTACCAGCTGTTCTGCATGAGAAAGATGAGGTTGTCTGCTCCCATAAAGATTTACAGCCTTGTAAACCAGGGTTGCTAGGAGTTAGAACCAACTCCACAGCACATCACCACCACCATCATAAACCTTCTAGGGAATCCTGGTGTGCCGCTGTAGGATAAGTTCAGGACCACAAGGTTGGCGGTTCAAACTCGCCAGATGCTCCTTGGAAACCCTATACTGGGCTTCTTATAAGTTGGAACTGATTTGATAGCAGTTAACATCAGCAATATAGACTTTGTGGACTTCTGGTGTGGCACTGTAGGATAAGCACTGGGCTGCTAATCATGTGATCAACATTCAAAGCCACCAGGCCCTCCTTGGGAGCGCTAGTAGAGCGCTATGAGTACGTCGCTATGAGTCAGGACCAATTTGATGGCATGTAACACTAACAATAGCAGCATAGACTTTCTGTAACCTTGGAGGGTAGATGAACCCCTGATACAGTTGTCCTCAGATAGTCTTAAGCCTTTAACCAGAAATATCATCAGGACGTCTTCCTAAATCCAAATAGTTGTTTGTGTAACTAGTACAAAAGCTCTGCCTTGAGCCTTACCCTATGCTCTTTTAAGAACTGTCTATAGGAGCTCTGGTAGCGTAGTG